GACTCGGAACCAACCCAAATGCCCATCAAGGATGGACTGGATAAAGAAAATGTGGCACATATATACCATGGAATACTATGCAGCCATAAAAAAGGATGAGCTCATGTCCTTTGCAGGGACATAGATGAATCTGAAAACTGTCATTCTCAGCAAACTGACACAAGAACAGAAAACCAAACACCACATGTTCTCACTCATAAGTGGGTGTTGAACAATGAGGACATATCGACACAGGGAAGGGAACATCACACACGGGGGTCTGGTTAAGGGGTGGGGGTTGGGGGGGATAGCAGAGGGTAGGGATATTGGGGAGGAGTAACATTAGGAGAAATATCTAATGTAGGTGACGGGGGCATGGAGGCAGCAAACCACCATGGCATGTGTATGCCTATGTAACAGTCCTGCAAGATCTGCACGTGTAACCAGAACTTAAAGTATAATAATAAAAAAAAATTCAAGAACTTGAAAATGTTTGATGTAAAATCATGCCAAAGGTTATTGATTGGCATGATAATGGGATGCAGAAGAAACTATGTGGAGAGGCAAGCTGGGTACACATTGAATAGACTGTATGCTTAGTTTAGACTTTATCCTGACATAGAGGGTCAAGTCTACAGGGAACAGGTAAATCAGTGATTAAAACAGCTAGTAGGAACAGAAAAGAAGTTGACCCTTTCAAAGGAGGGTTATTAGTGACTTGAAATCTACCTAAGATAACAAACAGAAAAGGAAAATAGATCATAGTAAATAAACTCTTGGGGATCATTACGAAGTTCTCTTTGCTCCAGACTGCCTGGATTATAGAAAGAGATTAATATATAGCCCAGTCTGAGAATGTAACGTCTAGTGAAAAACTCAGGATCTCCATCTTGAGCAGTTAAGCTAATGAGATATAAAAGATTTCTACCTTCAAAGAGGGAGGTGATTAATCAACTTATTTTGCTATAGAATACATCCTATGAATAAATATTTTGACTGATAACATCTGAACTGGAACCCAGGATTCTGAACCTACACAACCTATGGAACCCCACATTCAGTATAAAGAAGGGGCTGAGCAAACACAGGTTCTTTTCTGCTTCAGTCATATGACTTCTTTAACATGGTCTTCTGATGACTTCAGGAAGTTCCAAACTAAAGTTTTAAACAAAAACAAGACAGTGGCTTTCCTAGTCCATTTCCCCAAGTGATTTAGCTCTAATTCAACCATTAGGTGTCATGCTTCATTGATGGTGAATAAAGGTGAGCCAAACAAAGAGTAAGCCAATGGAAAACACACCTTCAGAATAGCAGGGGGAATCACTGCTCCCAGAGGTTGTCCAAGCTGCTAGGTGCCACAGACACAGCAGCACAAATGGACTTTTCATGGTCTTATTTAAAGAAAGTGCTTAAGAACTAAACCAAAAATTAGATAGGGTCTAACATATGAAATGAAAACTACAAATAAAAGTAGTAATATTGGCAAATGCTCATGTGGTACTTGCTATATCCTAGGCTCTATTCTGAGAGCTTTCCTCAGACTGACTTATTTGCTCTTCAGCATTCCTGTAGTACTGTTATTTCCATCTTCACATTATAGGTGAAAAAACCGAGCCATGGAATAGTTAATTTGCTAGTAAATGATAGGGTCCAGATTGGAATCCAAGTGTCTGCTTCCTGAGTCCTTGATTCTGGATCTCTAACCGAGAAGAGATCCAGAATTTAGAAACTTCCCTAAATAAGTACATCTTTCATTTAAATGTCTACAAAATGTAGCATTCCGTCAACTAGAAAACTGCCCTTCAACTCAACTTTTACAATTACGTATAAATTACCTTTATTAGCAATGTAGTATATTTTAGTAAAGTTTGATGTAGTAAAAGTAGGAGAGGCTAGGTCCTGTAAAGATTTTAAAGTAGCTCTGAAGCCAGGTCCTCAGAGCTGTAAGAACTTTGTTAGAGAAACTGAGAAGAAGGTGCCAGAGAGCCACAGGAGCAAACTCACTGCTCAGACTCAGGGCCTCCGTGCAAGCACCATCTCTTGCTCCATAGGCCAATAAGATCCTTGCTGACCACCCTAGACCAAGGGTTGGTAAACTATTTCTAGAAAGGTCCAGATAATAAATATTGCAGGCTTTGCAGACCATTCAAGCTCTATGGCATTCACTCAGCTCTGTCACTGTAGTGTTAAAGCATGAACAGTGGATACATAAATGAATAGGCATGGCTGTGTTCTAAGACAACTTTACGACATTGAAATTTGAATTTCATATAATTTTTATGTATTAGAAAATATTATTCTTCTTTTGATTTGTTTAACCATTTGATTTAATTTTTGGTTTGTTACCAAACCATTGTCACCTAATGGGCTGTACAAAGACAGGCAGGTATGATTTGGCTCTGGGGGCCATGGTGCGCCTACCTTTGCCCTTCACGGAAATCAGGAAGGAGGAAGTGACAGATGGGGAGGAAGAAGCTTGGGCGCCACCTGGAGGCCAGAAAAATCTGATGTCACCCCAGGATAACCATTTTGGAAAGCTAAATCATTTCTGTGGCTCCCAACCATAGAAATACAACAGAATTACCCAGGGTACTTGTTAGAAATACAAATTTTTAGGCTGCACCTCCAGAAATTCTGATTCAGTCATGTGGTTAGGTGAGGAATCTATTATTTTAAAAGCAGCTCATTGATTTAGGCAAGAGGTCTTCAAAATGTGGTTTGCACTCTGGGGAAGTACAGATATAGCCACTAAAGTATGGGAAGAAAATAGTAGAACTGCTTTCTATAATATTATTAGTCAATAAAAAGCAAGACAGAAATGAATTTTTATAAATATTTATCACATAAATTGACATTGGCTCCTTCACTGGGTGTGTGTGTCAGCGATCACTGATCACAAGCAGTACATGAGGAAATCCTAATGTGGAGGAACTGGTAGAGGCACCTTCACTCCTGTTTCCTCTTAGTGGACTACATATAAAAATGGGCAGTACCAATAATTACTGGGACAATTCTCAGAAAGAGAAAAGATGATTTATCTACTAGATCTCAAAACTCATCATGAAGCTATGTTAATTACGATTGTTGTATGGTGCCGGGATAGACAAATAGGTCAATGGAATGAAATAATAGTGTAAGAAACGACAGACTACTCAATACGTGATACTAGGGGAACTAGTTATCTCTAAATAAGAAATGAAAGTAGATTCCTAACTCACTTCATCAATAAAAATGAAACGTAGGAGAAGTAAAGTATGAAGAATACAATTGTCAAACTTTCAGAAGAAAATCTTTTTGGTTTCAGAATCAGGTAAGATTCTTAAATAAGACACAGAAAGTATGAATTGTAAGGGGAAGGACTGATAAATCTGACTCCTCTAAAATAAAAACTCATTTATGTTAAACAGGAAACTTCACAAACATAATTAAAATTCAAGCCACGAGGCAGGAGATTTACAAAGTATATAACCAATGAAAGACTGTATCTAGAATTTGTAAAGAACTACCACAAATTAGTAGAAAGAAACAAACACACAAAAAAACCCTTGTATCCCTTCCTTCTTTTCTAACCCTCCTTCTCTCATCAGAGAACCAATTATCATCCTGAATTATTGCTGAATTTATCACGGTAGGCGAACCATGGCCCCAGAGCCAAATTATGCCTGCCTGTCTTTGTACAGCCCATGAGCTGAGAATGGTTTTGTAACCAATCAAAATTTTTGTAACAAATCAAAAATCAAATTTAATGGTTGAAACAAATCGAAAGAAGAAGAATATTTTCTAATACATGAAAACTATATGAAATTCAAATTTCAATGTTCACAAAGTAGGGGGAAAGGGAAGAGTAGGGGGGAAGGGAAAACAATACAAATGGGTAACTCATAGAAGAGGAACTCACAGCTAAAAAGAAATAAATACAGGGAAAAATGTTTAATGTCATTAATAACAGAGAAATGTGATTTCAGATGACAGGATACCAAGTCATATACCAGATTGTGACTAGATTAAAATAACTGACAACACCATGTGTTGTCAAAGATTAGGAGATAAGGAAACCCTTCTACGTAGATGTTGAGAGTGTTAGCTGGTATAACCACTTCAGAGAGAAATTTAGCAAGACTTGTTAAAGTTGAAGAGGCACAAACCTACAGCCTCAAATTCAACTTCTGGAAATATACCCTACATAAATTCTCATACATGTTTCAAAATAAGATATATAGAAGAATTTTCATAGCAGCACTGTTTGTAACAGGAAAAAAATAGAGAAACATAAACATGCACGAATGGGAGAACGGATAAGTTGTGGTCTATTAGAAAGGACTTTTTAAACTGACTGAATCAGAGTTACATGTGTTAGTAAAGATACATATCTTAAAAAATAGTGTTATTGAGAAGAGGCAAATTGCAGAATAACACATGCGGTTTTAAAACAGAAATAATAATGCCAGGCATTATTTATGGATGTATGCATATGTGGTAAAGTAAAAACATGCACAAGAATGATAAATTCAGCAACAATTCAGGATGATGATTGGTTCTCTGATGAGAGAAGGAGGGATAGGAAAGAAGGAAGGGATACAAGGGGCCTATTTATATCTGTTAGATTCCTAATAGGGTTGGGTATTCTTTGTAATGTAATTCTGTGTATTTTTTAGTATGAGTAAACTGCTATAATGAAGAGGATTTAGAAGAAAAATAGAGTTAGATATAAGGTCGTAACTTTTTAATCAAATGCCAGAATGTGCACAGCTTTAGTAGTGAATGGGGGTGGATAAAATTTCAGACAGATTTTGTCACTAATCAATAAATTCAAGGAATATGGGGCTGTTCTGAGGTGACTGACACTTCTAATGAGATCAACACATCCTAATTTGCCCCAGACAGTCTTAGTTTATATATGTTGCTTCGTGTGATTATTAAGTTTTCCCTTTCCCTTTTAAAGGTGCCTCCCTTTGGAAGATCAATGATATGGTCTCCTGAAAGATGAAGCACTGTGGCTGATGATGCAGGCTATCAGAGGCTTGTCTGATAGGACCACGTTGCTCATTAGATGAATAAAGAGCTACATGGGAGAAATTAAAAACAATATGGTTAATAGCCAGTCTTCAGTTGATCTTTTATCTGAAGACTGAAGACCTCAGCAGTCTCACCTTTTCTTTAGAATCATGCCAGTTTAGAACAGAGGCCCGCGATCTTCTCATCTTCTCAAAGACACACCTGATGGAGTAAAAAGAATTACATAGTTAAGATCACAGACATGGCTGCAGACAAAAATCACCTGGGGAGGCTTGAAAGACAGAGATTCTTGGGTCCTAACACCAGATTATTGATTTGAAATCTGTAGAGTTGTGGCTACAGAATCCATACATTTTTTTAACTCTACAAGTTACTCTGGTACACACAGCCATGAAATTTTGTAATAAATACCAGAGCTCTCGCAGTTGTGCTATTTTAAATAACAACTTATTATTGGGAGCTAAAGTATTTTTTATATTAAATTTAAATGCTCATATATCTGACATGACCTGTCTTCATCTCTTGCCTGAATGATTTTCTAGCCTCATTATTCACAGCAATCAATTTTTTGCAGTCAATCTTTCTCCTGGCTGGGTGAAAGCGGATGGGTGTCTATTATTGAGAAAAAGAGAAGGCTGGGGCCCAGGGTCTGAACAGGCTTGTCATGACCCCTCCTAGCAGCCAGAAGGACATAGAGGACAATGCCAGGCCAAGGAGTGTTCAGTTATTATGCTGATCCCATGCCCTCTTGAGAAACTCTAGTCTTGGTTAGTTAGTGGATAAAACAGATGCCAGTGGGCTCCTGCTTTCTGGAGGAGGCATGTCAAAATGAAATTCCCTTTCTGACACCTCATGCTCATTCCCTTTGGGTTTCTGTCTAAGAGGGTGGGCTGAAAATTAGAGGAAGAAAATTGTCTCAAGCTGTAGTATAAATTTTTGAGAAATGCTCAAGTATAATAATGTTTTGCATTTCCTGCTCTTATTTTCTTTGTTTGGTTTGGTTTTAGTTGTTCTTTATTTAGTTTCATTTTTTTCTCCTGGAAAAGCATCTCTGGATTTGGCCAAGGGTTGCTGGATTTACTTTTTCACGTACTGAAAGACATCTGTATAAACTGAGAATGTGACTGACTGGGTGTGCTGCAGCCAGCAATAAAGGGGACACACCACTGAGCACCAGCGAAGCTTGGGTAATGGCCTTGTCACTTTGAATTTTTATTTCATTGGCACTGGATTCTTGAGGACACAGGTAATACTGTGTCAGATACATGAGCTCCTAGAAATTGCTCGCATTGAATTGTCCGGGAAATCGTCTAAGTTAGACATATCTCAGTTATAATTTTTAGATATTTCATCTAATTGGATATTCTCATTTCCTTGTTGAACTCTTTTTTGGGGGAGATGGCTTTGGGGATAGGTAGAGCATTAAACCATAAATACCCTCATATCCTAAAGGCCTCTGAGAATTGGGGTCAGGCAGGAAATCTATCAGAAATATCTCTTATCATGTCCTGAGAGACTCCTTCGCCACTGGCCTGATCAAGCTGACTGATGATGTCCTACATGTGTAATTTTAAACCTTCATTGAATATCAGAACCCCTGCAGGAACTTTTAGACATCATTAATCTTTCACCCCCACCCAGCATAATTAAAAGATAATGTCTGGAGAGGGGGTCTGGATGTCAGTGGTTTTCTGTTGCTTCTATAAAATTCCCAGGAGTAGGATGACTAAACATTCAGTATGCCTGAAACGGAGGGGTTTCACTTGAAAAGCTAGAAAAATCCTGCCCAAATCAGGTTGAGTTAATCACCCACAATGCAGGTGAGACTCCCATTAGGATCATTCCTTCCAGCTCTGTCTTACTGCACCCTAAGGGAGCAAAATCTCTGGGCTCTGCACCCAGTGTATAGATTTGCCAATCTGTCTCACTGATGGGATTCATATCTTCTGGTGACAGAGAAGATAACTGTTACCTGGAACCTTCTGATGCTGTTAACTGTGACCTAACAAAAGGATGTGAGCAAGAAATCGGAAGATGCAATAAACCTGGCCTAAGAAGATGGAAGAAAGAAAGTGGCTCCATGTGGCTGGCAAGCAGGGCACAATGGCAAAACCTCTGAGTTCACATGAAAAGAAAGGTGGTAAGGAGGGATTTCGAAAACAACCATTTCCTATTAGTCAATTTTTCTTATTCTATTTTTTTCTTACTTATTATTATGAAAAGATTAGGGATACCTTTTACAGTATCAGACACTTTGTGTTCCTTCTCTTTGGAGAGCCAGCTTTTGTTTTTTTCTGGGTGTTATATCCTATAGTGTCCTGTGCAGGCAGCCGGTGGAAACATCAGCTTGTGTATGTGGTAGAGCCAGCCCTGCTGCCACGTGCGGGCACCTAGGTCTGAGTCACTTTAGTCTTCCCTGAAGCCAAGTTGGACTGTGTGGCACTTATTGCACTTCACTGAAAAGGACATTTGGGTGTGTAGGAGAGGATGCCTGATACTTGATCGTACCAATAGTAGGTAGATTTATATACAATGCAAATGTACTTGGGATGAAGGTGAGCTAGCAAGGTACTCGAATCTAGAGGTGAAGCTCATGCAGTAGTCAGCTCACATCTGCCTTGGAGTACAGCACTCTGCCCTTTAGAATAAAGTCTTTGGGATGGCTGTTTGCTTATTTTACATAATCTCTTGTGAATTGAATATGTTTGCCTAATATTGGTATCTCCTGGGCAGTGGGAAAGGACTCTCGTTGCCATGGAGAAATTAGAATCTCCTAGATCCACCTGGTGGATTTCCCAGTGCTCACAAGCAGGTTCTTTTTGCCACAAAATGTCAAATTTAAAGGATCTAAGTTGCTAGAATGATAGAAAAAGACCAAACTGGGAGGAGATTAGGCAATGGGGTAGAAGGTTATAAGCTACCTAAACTTTTATGTAAATTTCCTTTGACTTGGACTTGAAATATCAATTGCCTGATCCCATGATAAGTGCAGAAATTGATAGAGCTTCCTTGTTTCAAATAAGGCCCATCTCTATCCTCTGCCTTGAGGGTTCTGTGTTTGGAAGGCCACATTCCTGGGAGAAAAGGAGTCCTGGAAGTGCTGATAGAGATAAGCAATATTCTTTAGTTTGTATCACATGCTAGACTGTTTTTATTTTCCTATGCATTAACTCATCTGATTCTCATAAAAGCAGTACAAAATATATGGTATCATCCCCACTTTACAGAAGGAAGCTGAAACACAGAGAAGGGAAAAAATTCCCCACAGTTGCACAGCCAAGATGTGAAGGGGCCAAGTTCAGACCCAGGCATCTCCTGATTTCTGAGCTCGAAAGGCTCTTGCTAGACCCCAGGGCCTTGTGTCAGCCTTAACAGTAGGACCCAATTTCATCCACTCAGAGTGAAGGGAGGTAGGTTGACCAATCTGGCAAACACTTGAAATAATGAGAATGAAGGGGATGACTGAAGGGTGAGATGGGGAGGATGAGAGACCTAGCAAGTAATGGTTAAAAATACTGTGGGGCAGCAGCAGCACTGGAGAATGGGGGTTTGTAGAAGTACCAGTCTGCACATTTGGGTGATTTTTGTTTCTAATCAGTGGCCTATATGTATTGGGACAAAGAAGATAAGCAACTGGGCTTCTCTAGACCAGTACATAGCCAAATGGTGCACATCTCAACAAAAATGGGGCTTTTATACTAGGTTGGAGAGTGGTTTTAAAGCAACCATGAGGGACTCATAGAATGCAGACCTCACCAGATCCTGTGCTTTGTGTAACGTGGGGAATGGGCAGCCTCCACCCTAGTCAGATTTCCAGTACAACAAGATGTTGAGTAAACTCCCAGGGAAGAAGTGAGTAATGGTTTCTTACCTTGTAGTGGAGTGTACATAGGGCTTAGTAGAAAGCCTTGTGCCTTAGTCCATTCATGCTGCTGGAACTGAATACTCAAGACCAGGTAATTTCTAAAGAACAGAACTTGTTTTCTCACAGTTCTGTAGTCTAGGAAATCCACGATCAAGGCACAGGCAACTTTCGTTGTCTGGGGAGGGCCAAATCCTCCAGAGATGAAGAGTGCCCTGTCTCCTGGTGAAAGGAGAAAGGACCAGCCAGCCAGCAAAACGCTGGGTGAGCCTCTTTTATAAACGCCTTAATATCATTAATGAGGAAGGAGCCCTCATGGTCTAATCACCTCTTAAAGGCCCTACCACTTGATACTATCATATTGGCAACACCTGAATTTTGGAGACGCCACATTTAAACCACAGCACCTTGGAAGTGAGAGAGGAAAAAAAAAGCAAAAGATACCTGGGATAGGGAGGCCAGGAGAGGAAAGGCCAACAAGAGAACTTACAACATCAGCATTCGAGGCCTGGAGTGTGGGGTGCTCACCTATAGATCCCACAGGACTCCAGCACGGGTACTCCCTGGCTAGTTAGGCTGAGGATGGGGGTTTTGGAATGCGGTCTTCAGAGGTTGAGGAGGACGGGGGCTGACTAGGGCCAAAATGAGCGTCTCTCCAATGTGTGCTCTTTCCACCAGTTGCGAGCGTGGTGAGGAAGAAGTTGTGTGGGATAGAAAAAGCCTGGGGAAAATGGTGCTTTCAGGCCACCCATCACATGCCTCAAACTCCAAAGAATGTGAACAATAGGAAAACAGATTTGCCGTCTCCCGCTGTCATATGTGTGACAGTAGAAAGCTGAAGATTTGAGTCAGAAACTGGTAAGTACACCCCGGGCTCTCAATAAAGTATGGCACGGGGCTTTATCTTGGTCCTCTCCAAGCCTGCTCTGATACCCAGGGACTTATACCAGCAGGGTGCGTGGTGTGCTTCAAGTTTTGGCCTCAGTGTAGGAGTTCTGGTGGCTGTTTAGAAGAGAAAGCAGCCAGGGTCTCTTTGCTTGTAATGAATGGCAGCCTTACCTGCTTTTCTTTTCTTCTTCTTTTTTTTAATCTGTTCCATAGTTTGGCTTTCCAGAGGTCGCTTTTTTATTTTACCTGAATGGAAAGCCTGACCCAATCCACCACTATTCTCTCAAGCTTCCCCCACCAGGAGCCCAGGCAGGCTTGAGTGCAGCATTTCTCCAAGTGTGGTCTGAGGACCACCCACAGGAGAGAGGCCCTGCCCAGGTGCCGCGCGTTTATCAAGTTCCCCAGCATGCTCTCAGGCACATTCCACTTTGGGAACCACTATTGGGATGTCCTGCCCTGCCTCATTGCTTCGTAGTTAATTTCTCTTTATTTCTTTTGTGACCTTCAGTCATTTACTTACCAAAAGCCCTGGGAATCTAAGCCCAGGCTAAGTGCTGAGGATGCCACAGCAAACTAGACAGGCACAGTCCAGCCTTCTCAGCTTAGGGCTTCTGGTATTTGGGGAGGGGGAATGGGAATAGTAGAAAGGTTGGCAGACTAAATAAGTGATCATAATAAAGTGTAAAAAGCGTTACAATAAACTGTGGCAAGAATAATAGTTTGTTAATGTGGCTCAGGAGGCCACCCAAGAGAGGGAAAGGTGTGACACCCTTACCTTTATGGTTCAGCTGCAGATGGCACCCCCTGGGTCGTAATACATACATCGGGATCCCATACAGTCTCCCAGAGAAAGGCAAAGATGAGAGACAGACTGAGTTCTACCCACGGGATACAAGGAGGGATGAAACAGTGTATAGAGGGGCTCTATGCTATCCATGGTATGCGGAGTTAAGGACGGAAGTCTGGAATGATTTATGTTTCAATATCAGTGGGAGATGCAAAATTTTCCCAATATCTGTGACCTCACCCAGAGTAACAAGCAATAAAAGCCAGAAAGTAAAAATGAGGCTGGGCTTTTATAGAGCCTAGCAGAAAAGGGAGTGTAAAGAGGTCTGCAAATCATGCTGCAGCCAGCAGCCAGGCTGGTGGAAGGGAGAGACAGTGGGTGAAAGTTCTACGGTGAGAAATAAGGGTGCACGGAGAGCCAGCTGCAGGAGGAAAAAAAGACCCAAGCTGCAGACATGAGGTGGTCCTAGACACAACCACACGCAATTTTCCCCACTGCCTTCCACATAGTCAGACCTTCCCTTTCAACTTGGTATTCTCTCTCTTCCTATAGGCAGATTCAGTTCTTTTTATTTTGAATTTCTTTTAAAGTTTCATTTCATTATGCTGCTTTCTTTTCTTGGGCTGCCAGCTATTAAAATTTTCTTCTTTCTCCCCTCTGCTACTAGGAAAGTCAGAGCTAAAGTCAATGCCTAGTTAAAATAACCAGATTTTCCTAGGCATTGAGTCAATTTGTTTCCTGTTCCTTCCTGTTTTAATTTTCTTTTTTCTATTTTAACAGCTGCACTACAATTTATTTCTATTCTTGAAAGCTGTCTTAACTTTTTTGGAAGTTTATGCAGATCTAAGTTATGATGAAATGAAACACATGTGTCCATTTTCTCCCACCCACCAATCCTTTACCCTTCCCCCTGACTGCAGTCACATTGCCGTGGAATCACATCTTCCTATGGTGTTATCCCAATCTCCATAATACTCTTTTGTTATTATTCACTGCAGGCACAAACAGAAAGGCCAGACCTCCCCATTCTCTTCATTTTTCTCCTTGATTTTCACCTACTGGTCTTTCTTGTGGCTCCCACCTCTGTCCTGACCCCTAACATTTATTGTTCATTGTTCTTCCCTAATTCTGATGCATCCCCTGTCTCCCAGAGGTTGGCTAATGTAACACCATTCCCCTAGAGAAGAA